CCCTCGATATAAGCGACGTTCTAAAGCTTTAAATTATATATTCCCTCCCCTTTAGGTCTATTTAAAACGCCCTTTATAATCCGAGTTTTATATATAATAACGGGTAATATAATAGTTCTTAATTTAACGTAGTTATCGTTACTTAATAGTATATAGCTCTTAGGTTTTAATAAGCTTTTATCGTTAACTAAATATATTATTTTATAACTATTTATTACCGTATTCCGGGATAAAAAATAAGCGCTATTTATAGGGGTACTAAAAATTATATTCATTCTATTTCTTAACTTTAATAAATATAGTAACTACGTAGCCCTTATCTTAGTTTATTAATAAACTCGTTATAAACTAGTTAAAGGATCTTTTTAAAAGCTAAGGCTTTTTAAAGGTTCTATCGTCCTTTAACTAACTAACTTTTTTAAGCTTATTATAAAATAATTTCTATTTATTTAATTTAATTATAATAAAGACCTCCTCTATATAGTTATTAAATATTCGTATTAAGGACTTATTAATATTACGATTTATAAATGCCTACTTTAGTTTTCGGTACGCCGAAGCCGCTAGTAGTATACGTAATTATACGGGTATATAACGTCCCTTTATTATTTACGTTTTTATATAAATTAGAACGCCCTAAAAAAGTAAAATAAGCCCCTCTTTAACTTAAAGGCCGTTTTATATATACTTCCTAGGTTATTAAACTAAATATATATAATCTCTTTAAGGGTTTTAATATACGTCCTAAAAGCGATTAATTTATAAAAAGCGTCGTAAGTTCGTTAGCCCTATATAAGGTTAAGCCTAGACTTAACTACTTTTAAAAAGTTAATTATAGCGATCTTTTTTTAAATTTCTAAAATATCGTACGTTTTTATTTAAAAATAAATAAACTACTATCCTCGTATTAGCGTTAAGCGTTAACTCTATTCTTTATTTTATTAAAGACTTATTTATATTTTTATTAAACTATACTCCTAACTATAGCTTTAAGGGCGCTAAATCCTATTTTAATTACTAAACGATCTATTAAATACTAAACTTAACGCCTTTTTAAGTTACTTTTTAAAATATATATTTATAAAAAGTAACGGTAATAGACTTTCTTAACTATTAAATAAAAAGTTTAATATATATATTAATATTATTATATTTAGGAGCTATAATTTAATAATATTTAGTAAAGAGCTGTTATTCTTTTTAAATATTCTTAAATATATAGATCTTTTTTATAGGTATAGTATAAAAATATATTTAGTTACGTAAAGTTAATAATATAGCTAGTTTTATAAAAAGAACTTTAACTAGATTTTATAAATTGCTCGTATTTAAAGATATTAAAGGGGTTATACTAAGAATTAGGGCTAGAAGTTATTAACGAAAGATCTTTTATTCTCGTTAATCGTTTTTAAATACTTTATAACGAGTTTTATAGGCTCGTCGCTCTTTTTTATTATAAATTAAAAGTAATAGTTCGAAGTTTAATAATAAAAAAATATTATAAAAAGAACGAAGAGTATATTAGAGTTTAAAACGTTTAGATCGACGTACTTTTAAACTTTAAGGCCCTCGTTTATAAAATAAAAAGCTTAGAACTATTTAATTTAATTATCGTAGCTAGTTAACTTAGCTTAATTAAAGGTTAACGTAAAGATATTTATTATTTTAAAAAGATAATAAGAATCGTATTAATAAATACGTTATTATATTTTAAGGTCTTAACTAAGAGCTGGGCTTATAATTATTACGAATTATAATATATAATAATAAATATACGGAGTATAGTAAAATAGTTTAATTTATTAAAATAGAAATAGATAAAAGAGAAAGGTCTATATATAGGATATAAATAAAATATACGTAATATAGTACGTGACAGGCACTTTGTGGATTGCGGTCCCTATCCTTGTTACGTGACATTTTGTAACTCTTAAGCAGGATTGGCATTATAGAACCCATCGAGTATCATACTTATGGTCTCTGGCTCACGCTATAGTCCAAGTCACTAGGTATCCTTGGACCAAGGTATGGCCAAGCGATTCTCCAAATTTATCCTCCATCATGGCTACTAGGGCTCCTGCATTCCAGCTTAGAAGCCCTGCTTTGCAACCTGAGCCTTGGCAGCAGCAATGGTTGCCGCCTTATTGGGGTCGACGAAGTTGCAGCCATTCTTGCCGTTCTGGAATTGCGTGGCCTCAGCCGAGCAGACGCCGACGCCGCTGGCATCCGCGCAGCATGCGGAAGAGCAGTCGGCGTCATCAACACAGCCTCCGGTAATGAACTGAGCCCCGTTGCCCTGGCCGACGTTCTTGGCGCCGGCGTTGTTGGGGGTGATTGCGAGTGCGGTCATCGCAACTGGGTCGCAACCAAGTTAGCAGGCTGCAGCAATACTTTGATTGGGGGATCCGCTAGGCTGGACACTCACAAGCAAGAGTGGCGAAGAGAGTGATGCGGACCATTTTTGTGAGTGGAAGCTTGATTGTTGATTAAAGAAAGTTTTGGAAAAATATGCGACTCCAGGTCGTTGAAGCGAATGTGCATGCACTGTAGATTGATAGAGAGAGGTTGATGAAGAATGCAAAGCCTCTTAGTCTCGAGGCAATGAGTCTTTAAATACCCAGTGTCGTTGAATGTCTCGACTGGCAGAGTTTCGTAGCTGTGGACATTGGTCCCTGGTCGATTGGGCATCCCGCCGGCACCGGCATCGTGACACTTTCCCGTGAGACGAGTACCAGCAGTTCTGAAGTCAATACCTGGGTGTCTGAAACTTGGCAATGGAAATAGCACAGTCGTCACCGAATCACTACCATTTTTGCGGCTGAATTCTCCCCAGACTCCATCGGGTTCGGATCATGACATGTGTCATCCGAACGGATAGATCGGTCAGTTGCGGTTTGATCGTCGTCTGAACCATGTTTGGCGCAACGTCTGCTATCAATGCGCACAGGGCCGTTAGGGGCCAACTTCCGATGGTCAACTGACGATCTTGACTAGTTCATCTCTCCGCACAAGTAAGTGTTAATCGACCAGTCTTACTCATGTCAATTCGCTGCTCCTTGATCATGCGATGACGCATGAGCAGAGGATGATTTTTCAGTGGTTGTGATTACGTTGTCATCACAAAAAGTTAACAAGTAGTTTCATGCATAATAGAGTTGCAGGCGTCAAAGTCTGCGGATTCTAAGTGATTTCAAGGGATGGAAAGTTAAATAACAGAGTGCAGGTGTCCGAATGGGATCGTTTCCTCAAATCTCTCAGAGTCATCTCACCAAATTCCCAAACTACCAAAAACACGCCTCTTAAGCTATCGTCGCTAGGTCTCGACACCCAGCTGAGTCATTGGAAAACGTGTATCTGTGGCCGACGTTACTTTGTTCTGTTTTCTTTACATCTACCCGCTTCGGGGGTACCACAAGGCCAGTAGGCCCGAATCATTGTGGTGAGTAAGTACATATTGGAAATATTCTTGTTAACGTCATCTAAAAACATTGGGGTATAAAGCCTCCAGAACGGTGAAGAGAACCAGGAAATTCCTGAACTTTGTTATTATGCAAATTAGAAAGAAAAGACCATGGATCTTCTCCCATACTCAGATTTGTGGAGGATGGGCCCATTGTTTCCAAGATGAACATGTAATAAGCCGTTAGCTTGCATGTGAAGCTCACGTCAGTAACACAGAACTAGGTCCAAGGCAAGATTATCAGTATCATAGTGTATCTAGAATGCTAATGTACTACCTGCAACTCGGAATAGAAATGCAGTCTCGGCTGCATGGCCACCGCGTCGGGATGCGAGCGGAAGAGTGCGTCAATGACCCTTGAACGGACCGAAACTTATTATCTGCTTGAGTCGTACAAAGCGTAACGCCAATTTGAAGGTATTATAAGAGTTTTAATTCATTGGATATCCATGGTTACACCGAAAATCTAAAGCTCGTCGAAGGCTCTTTGCAGCGGAGGGGAAAGTTTCGACCCTTACCACGCCAGTCCTTTGTATTGCTGTACTACTTTATCAAGATCACGTGGCGGAAAGACCCGGGACCATGGATGAAATCAAATGTTTTGTATCCCCTGATCAACGAGAGGTGTCTCCTATTCTTCTTTTGCCACGACATCCTGCCATGTTGGCAAAACTCTTTCGAACTTCTCCGTTTTAACTCCAAACCATCTATACGGATACGGATAGCATTTTATTGGCGTATTCAGCTTTGAATTAACGCAATATAGAGAAAACATGTTGTTTTGGTACTCCATGAGAATTGCTCATCTGCTTTTGGGGGTTCGATTCTTGCTTGAAATTCACGCATGGGAACTATCTGATGTGCCAGCTCCGGACCTCTTCCTTCGAAGAGGTCTAGCTAATGGTAAACGACACTTAGCTCATGACAATGTCTAAGAAGAATGATCGGCTAATCCGTGATGTGACTTCAGTTGTTGTTATCGGTAACTTTCTCTACATCGATGGTGGGGAGGTCTCTCAGCTCGACGCCGAAGGAAAGCCATATATTTTCTTTGATTACCAAGTAAACCAAAGCTATGGCTCCCACCCAGGTCAGTACTTTAGTGACGCTATCTTGTCGAATTTCGACACTTCTCTGACAGAGGGGTAACTTAGTCAATTCTACCCTTTCAATCGATTTGTCGGGATCATGGTCCCCCGCCAACGTTTCAATCCGAAAAGTACCAAAAGAACCATACGGCATGGATAGGCAAGCACTGTGGGAAAGGACAGACAGCGACTCATTCTACATATGGGGAGGACACACCGCCAACACTCTCTACCTGAAGGACGAATCGCTGTCTACTGGATCGTGGAAGTTTCAAGCCGATGGTAGTGGTGGTGGCCAATGGACGAAAGAGACCCCCGTCAACCCCACAGAATTCGCAGAGCTAGTGAGAAGTGAGGACGGAGCATATGCCAGTACTCCTAACGGGGGCTTTTGGTTCGGAGGCTGGGCAGGAACTCGAACGAAGGTGAACGCGACTAATGGCGACGCGGACTTAGCTCCAGCTGGAGCTACTCCAGGTATGGTTGTTTACGATTGGAATTCCAACCAGTGGTCGAATGAGACAGCCGCTTTTAGGGCTGCCTTTCCTCCATACGGGACAGTGAGAGGTGCAAGAGCACTGTATGTCCCCACCTTTGGACCAAATGGCATAGTCGTGCTCCTCGGTGGCTTCATGGCGACTTTGGACCCAATAGTAAGTGGAAGCGATAGCCTCCACCAATGGATGGATATCTCCAACATTACATTCATGGACCCGGTCTCCAAGAAATGGTATAGCCAATTGACTACAGGCTCTGCTCCGACCAGACGACAATGGTTCTGCATGGTGGGGCTCAGGAGCAGAACTACATATGAAATGTAAGTAGAATGGACCGGTGTCACTAGCCAGTACAGATTTTAACAAAGGTAGATTCTTGTTCGGCGGAACAGCTGGGTCCTCTAATAGAGCATACAGCGATGTCTTTGTATTGAGTCTGCCGGGTTTTGTTTGGAGACAGGTGCAATTCGACGACGTATCTCCACGAACCGATCACCATTGCGCAGTAGTAGGGAACCGGCAGATGATCGTCGTTGGTGGAAGGACCACAAGCAAGAGTGCGGCAAATCTGGAAGGATGGACTCTCCCAGACCCGTGGCCTCAAGGGCTTGGTTTGTTCGACCTGACGGAGTGGACTTGGAAGGACGAGTACAACGCCAGCGCTGAGGCTTATCATAGCCATCAAGAGATTCAACGTTGGTACCGTGAGAAGTAAGTCTGCAGTTATGGAAAACTAGTGCAATAGCTGAACGCCAGCTTTAGGGGCGTAAGTTCCGTGTCATGGTCATCGGAGGAGGTCAAGACTTTCTTTGTGCCCACAGCCAAGACCACAGCCATCCCCCCAGCGATTCCAACAGCAACGCCTCTAGGAATACCGAAAGCTACAGAAGCCTCAAGCAATGCTATTGCGGGAGCCGCTATCGTTGCGATTATCCTAGCTGTTCTTGCGTTTTTGGCAATCATGTGGATTGACGGCCGTTCGAAGAGACCAATCTTCGTACCACCGCCTGCTGTAGGCAAAACGAGCCCAACGAACGACACTTTGGATATTCCACTTCAGATAAAGGAACCTGAAGCGGACCCTACTTGTCTAGATGGGCCGAACTCGGACACAAAGACTATAACTGAGCTTCCGGTGGCCTCAGCGACCGATCCTAGTCTTTTTCATGATGCACCGAGTAAGGATCCAACGCACAGAACAGAGCTTCCGGTGGCCGCCTCGGTCGTTTCAGTGGGCGACTTTCATCCATATCACGACGAGCCGAGTACGGATCTGAAGCCTAGAACAGAGCTCCCTGTATCAGCGACCGATTATCTTCCTTGCCCAGCCGAGCTGAATACGGATTCAACGACCAGGACAGAACTTCCTGTGAACTCGATGGTCAGAAATCAATTGATTCATCCCGTGGAGCTCGACGCTTTATATACTTCTGCAAGTACTGCATTTAGAAAGTGTCCACATGGGTCAGGGCATGATCGCGCCAAGCTTATTGAATGAACTGCTCAGCTAGTCTTTAGTTATTATTTGGGGGAAGGAGACGTTTGACAACGAATTGCTTGAGAGTTGAGATATTTTACCTGAGTGAAGAGCGTAAAAGTACCCCTGTGACCTTGGCATAAGAGTCGAAGCAGCTCCTTGCTTGCATGTCCTATTTACTTCGTGTTGTCACGCTCAATCAAATGCCTCCGTTCTAATCATGACTTGGCGACTTGTCACATTTACCCAGAAGACTCGAATATTCGTGTAGACTTTGACCGATCGTCCTCATGATCGGCCAGGCGCTGTTGCATCTTTCAAACATCTTGGCGAATAACTTGATCACCAAATTACCAAGAGCCTCCAAAGAGTGCGAGGTGTTGTCTTCCGTGGTACTCAGGTCATATCCGTCGATTGCTTCGAGCGAAGCCAAGGCCTCGTTAACGATACACTCTGTCCACCTTATTATCTGGCGTTCGTTTACTTGAGATCGAGTCAGTCTTGGCATCGGCATTATCCTTGGCGCATGTAACTTACCATCTAATTCTTCCGTACCTTGGGTTTCTGCAAGCATAAACAGCCATTTACTGAGAAAAATGGCTGCCTCAAAGGAACAGAAGCAGTGCTGCAAACTCCAGAAGAACGCCTGACAGCTAGCCAAGTAGTCGATACCGAGTTGCACAGGAATGTTCAACGCATGAACTGCGTGCAGTAAAGCGTAGACAAGATGAGGCCCACGTTCTGGCGGCCGAGCATTCCAGGCGTTGCCTGCAATGATCTTTGGATTTCCGGAGCAAACCTCTTGCGGTCTTCTAGAAGCAAAATGCAAGCGTACATGCGCAAGTCCAAGCAGAGATGTCGCTGTCCAAGAGAGAGACCCTTTGGTATGCCTAACATCTAAAACAGACTCGGGAGCCTTGCACCATTGGTCACGCCACCGGTGCAGCGATGACTCGAATTTCGCAACCTCTTCGGGGGCATACCCCGGGGATGCAGGATCCAGTGAGAGTTGTTTTGCGACTATGAGGCGCTGTAGAATCGCGTGGATCAGCACAAAGTTTCCAAAGGGTGAAGGAACTGGACATTCTTCCGTGCGAGGTTGGACCAAGTTGACAAACGCCTCTTGGAAGCGAACGAGCGCCGGACTCTTGCTACGAGCCCTTAGCCACAATGCAGCGGTAGGCGCCAGCCATTCATCACAAGTTCCTGGCAGCCATAGATCAATCTCATTTGCTAAAATGACTGGCGGAACATTGAAGACCAGTGTTTGAAGGTTCAAGAAGCAGAATGCAGCGAGCTTCGCTCTGCGGTCTGACTCGGCTCGTGCCCAGGAATGCCAGTCCAGGTCTTTGTCGTTGTAAGAGGCATCGTTTACGAGCCCGCTCTCCCGCAGACACCGCGCGAGGAGGCCTGGATACTCTAGAGACTCTCGAACGAGACAGAGGTCTTCTTGCCAGGTAGAATAGGTTGCCAACAACAAGATTGCCTTCATAGTGTCTAGGCGTGAGGCTGCAGCAGAGGAATAAGCTTCTACTCCTGCCAAAGCAAGAGAGTTAGACGGCCTGGATATTCCACATAATCCTCCAGGCTGGGTTGCCAACTCTCCTGATTCTAATCGATGCAAGATGATTGCCCTTCCAGCTCGGTACAATGCGGAAGCGTTGCGTGTCTCATATCGAAGTTGAGCACCTACGGCTAAGAGTGCCAACACCAGCTCTGGAGACTCTCGATGGTATTTCATGCAGAAGGTTGGCATATGCATGAAAGGATGGTGATCATTGTATCCGTCAATATAACCAGCGATGTATCTTGACAACGATAACCTGGAAGGAAGTTTGAATGATCCTAGCGCCGCCGCGTATGGTTTGAGATATTGAATGAATTGGCTTCGTTGAGATTCGTTCACTTTCCACGGTTGTCGCAAAGGTTTCAGTTCATGAAAATCATCTAAGTCGTCGAGGAGACATCAGAACTTCTGGTGCCGTGCAGTCCCTCAAGGGAATGGAGGTCGTAATCGCAACTTACCTTCACCGGTGTCAGCATCTGGGATTGGATTAATATTTCGCATCGGTGGCGATTCATTCGACGCCAGCTCTTGACTTTCAGGAGTTGACTGATACCGACCCGTGCTTGGAGCCGATGAAATCATTTGTTCGGATTCCTGAGAATGCTCTGTAGCGAATCTTGTGGACGGGAAAAGATCGAATCCGTGTTGGAAGTCCAGGCCGACAGCGTCGAAGAACTCAGAGATGTCAAGCATAGCTTCCATTGGGCTGGGCAGGTTTAGTAACTCAGGGTTGTTGTCATAAGGATCATAAGGAGATTGTTGCATTAGCTCTTGCGGAGCTGCTGCGCCTTGATTCCCCAAGTACCCCGAAGCGTTCAATGTCATTTGGCTAGTAGCTTGCATGACTTCATGGAAGACTGGCGTTGGATTGAGTGCCGCCGAGTTTTGGTCCTGGCCTGCAGTCATTGGGGACCTCGCCAGGGGAGCGGTAGCATTCCCCGTAGCGTGGTAGAGACGCTCGTGACGGGTAAGAAGATCCCGCCTGGCAAAGGCCTGTCCACAATGACATTCATACGGCTTTTCTTTCGTGTCTGAGGGGCAGAATTATCGATATGATTAGTAGATGCTCCGCCAATGATATAGCAAGCTGTGCGACACGTACGCGTTCTCAGATGTCTTCTTAGATGCTCGCCTCGAGCGAAGGTGCGATGGCAGATATGACAAGCTTTTGACATGTTGGCGCGAACACTGTGAGAGGCTTTCTTGCAGCCGCAAAGTGGTGTTTGCAGAGAGGAGGAGTGGAAGCAGCACCACTTGGCTGTCGATTTGGACAGGAGGAAAGAGTAAGGTCGAAGCATTATCTGGCCATTTGTAATCACATTGATTACCTATGCAATGATGTGCCATTGGCGCATGTCATTTGCTCATAATGCTATATACTTAGTTCCAGGCCATTCAACCAAAGTTCCAAGACCAAAGCGGATGGCTCCTGTAGTCTGCCCCATTCCGATGGCCGCCAACCGGCATCAACAAAACATGAAACTTTAGGCAACAAGTAAGGTAATTTGACAACATTTTGATGGACAGTGAATCATCGCACTGATGACACGATGATCTTGTGCAACATTGCTGTGACGAGCATAGACCTCATGGGCTTTGCCACGAAGGGTCTCCGGGTTATTACAGACGGCATTGGGGCACTAATTATCTTCTACCCCACCGCCCCTCAAGGGAATCGGGGCTGTCCCCATTGAGTTGGGGTACCCCAACTGCTGCATACGTGGTAGGGGGCCGGGCTACAAGCCATCGCGGAATCGGCGCATCTCACTCGCTATTTTACTTTAGTACTCTCATTTGCAATTTCTCTGAAGTGTCCTTTCGAACAGACAGACTGAACACGTTTTCATATTGGAAGACGCCTATTCTTTCACTGTAGCCTTCTGGAAAGAGCCATTGCCTGTTCATCAGTACTTTGTCGTATTTGCGACATGGATCTAGCCGTGTCGCCCTAAGCACTAAATGTTCAGTGGCAGGCGACTTTGTATTTTGGGTACCCCGAGCTCAGAATTTCCCGTCAATAAAAAGAAGATGTATTCTTGGATAAAGGCAAGTGAATTTACCATTTCATTAACCGCCAACCAGATACAACCTCCCTCTACACTCTACGAGCTCTCAAGTTGCTTATAGGCAGAGGCCACTTTCCGAAAAGCCTCTTTCGGTGTCCACGGTGGCATCGCTTTCGACCTCTCATCCGTCACCGACCAGGTTTTGACTAACGAAAAAGACATCATGTCCAAGTTCCGCAAACCCTCTCCGGCACGGTACGTTGGAAACGAGAAGACGTAAACGAACATAGCGTCCACGTCCGCCCCAGCAAGCATCCTAATGACTGCCTCGACGTAATCAGCTTGCTCCGTCTCGGAATACTTTGGTACCACGCCGCCCGCGAAGTTGCCGGTACCGTCTGGGTTGGTGCCTTGAAGAGGCATGAAACCGCCGGCTCCGAGGGCGGCCGCGCCTTCATACGCGCAACACCCGAACTCCATGACAGCAAGCGGCTTCTCGCAACGGTGCCTTTCCAACCCCTTGAGATAGTCGCTCTCGCTCTCGCCTTGACGATAGTGATCGACGCCGACGATGTCAAAGAGCGTCCAATCCACAGATTCCCACATTCCTGCTGAATACGTTACTCGGCCGTGGAACACCGGACGAATCACTTGCAAAAACGACTTGAGAATATCGTTGAGCTTTGAGCAAGCCTCATGAAGTGAATCTGACATGCTGGGCCCATCGGGTGTTTCTTTCATTTGCCCGCTCATCCACTTGACACGCTCCATCAGGTCCTTGCCAGGAAAGACGCCCTCGTTGAAGATGGTATACTCGCATTGCGAAACAAAGACGATGTCTACTCCCTCGCCACGAAGGTCTTCGGCAGCTTGGGCTGCTTCGGCGAGATAAATTCGGACTTCGTCGGCGGGTGCGTGCATCTTCCATGGATTGAAGAAGACTGCGAGGCCCAGTGAGTGGGCGATACGGGAGGCTGCCACGAGTCGCTGGATAGATTCGCCTTCAATGCGCACGGCATTGGCGTGGAGGTCGGTAGCGATGACTTTGAGATCGTGAGCCACGAGTTTGGGATCGAATGGCTCAACCGACGCGGTATCGGCGGTGAAGTGAAGGCCAACATCGTATACAACGCCACGGTACCTCATATTGGGCGAATGCAGAGTGTAGAATTGCTGGAAGCAAGCGATAATGTGATGTTAGAAATGAGAATCCTTTCGTCTCAGGGTTCGAAGTTATGTGTTTTATGAATGAGGTGGAAGTTGATAATGCAAGATACATTGTGGCTGTATTCGAAGAAGGCATTGAAATCTTTGATAGTTGATCTGTCTCTCAATCCTATTGATTGCGTCCCGTATCCGTATTCGTGAAGGAGCGAGTTACTCTAGGCCAACGTCACGTCTTTATGGATTCCACGCGTTCCGCGTACCGACTGCTAACGGAGCCTAGCACAAGGTCATTGTATCTTGCTACGACCCAATCAGACCCGACTGAATAGACAGGCCTGGATAGACCGCATGCTGTAGGAAGAACCCCCGGAATTGATTCCCGACAAAGGTAGAGAAGAATGATAAATATGGGGAAATTTCACTGGACCACGGAGGCCGAGGGAGGCTGATCCATCGCCAAGAATTGCTACGGATTGATACAAGACTCCGAACCTATCATATGAGTGATATAGCCTCTCAAAAATATGTTGAACTTTTTCGTGCAGGTAAAAAGTCACATTATAGGCCGGTGACAAGTACTCCGTGGTAGAATTTGAGGCTAGAAATGCTCAAAGAGAGCCGGTCGAAGCCACGATGCTTGATCGGCTTCTACCCGCTAACGTTATTGTGTACCTTCTAAGTTGACCTGCAAGACGAATGTTGTAAATTACCTCTTTGGAGTGATCCTTTCGTAGAAAAATCCCTCATGCGCGACTGCCATAGTCCTGACCTGCCGATGACAGTAGTCTCTGTCTCTCTTCTAAGGCATCCAACTCAGGCTTCTCTTCTGTAACGAAAGTACGACCTTTGATGGCGACAAATGCTGTGAGAACAATTCCAATTATGGTGCCTGATGCGCCGAGTGTAATGTTTACAGGTGCAGGATCTCCGTGCAATGGACCGTGAGTAAGAGCATCCAGGCCAGATTGCGCGAAGTTTACCAGGCCTGAGACGCACACGATAGTACCGTAGATACGACCGAAGGTGGCGAAACCAAAGACTTTTGTTGCGTAGTCCCATTGAAGACCGATTAGCACACGAGAATATGTGCCCGAAAACAGCAAGACTGGACTTACGAGATGGCCGAGTAGTAGAAGGGGCGAAAAACAACGAATAAGACAACCGTAGCATATCCCGCCCACACAAAGGGTAGACAATTGAGCACGCCAATGGCGACAATCAGGGCAGTCAGCGCGCCAAAGATTGACGAGACGCTCAGATTATTGAGGAGGACACCAATAAGGGGGGTAGACAGAAGTCCACCGACAGGCAAGGCAATGTCGAAGAAACGGTTGATGTTGTTGGCGGCGGCCTCGGCGCCCAGCATGTAACGGTATTGCGCATGAATAGTTGCGATGAAGTAGTTCATCCTCAACATCTGAACAATAGTCAAAAGCAGGATGAGGATGAACCATGGACTCTGGATCTGCTGGTGGGCAGGAACGCCATGAAGAACTCCCCAGACTCCACTGGCTTCCTGACGCTCCTCGTTCACCTTGACACGCTCTTCACGCTGCTCAGCGTCGCCAGCGACTTCTTCGATTTGGTCAAGTTTTGACAACCTTCGACCAGCTCGGGCAATGCGTACTTTGCGCAATTGCCTGATGTCGTCAATTTCATCGTCAGACCCATGCGCATCATGCGTCTCGTCCTGAGCTTTCTCAATCTTCTGTTCCAGCTGAGGAATCGAATGATAGGACCGAACGGGCATGTACGCAAATTCGGCCAGAAGAATTAGTACCGGAATGGCGATGTAGGCGTAGAAAAACCTTTCCAGTGAGAGCTTGCCTTCTGTCGATTCATATGCCGCACGGTAGATTAGGAATACAGCAGCCGACGCGTCAAAGGCCCCTGTGACCAGTGCGATGATGTGTCCACTGTACTTAGGAAATGCGTTAGTGTCGTGATAGCTTCAACCATCAGTGGCCTCACCGCATGTTACGTAACCTCGGTTATATAATCACCGAGCTCCATACTTACTCGTACCCTCTATTTTAGGACGAGCTTTATATTTATTTCCTATTTTTAATAAATAACCGTTCTCTATATTTAATATTAATACCCTTATCGTAATTATATAATAATTATAAGCCTAGCTCTAACTTAGACCCCTAAACCTCTATTAAAAAGTTATTTTTTAAGGGCTACGATTTATTATATCCTTTTTTATATTTAATTTAAACCCCTATTACGTTTATAAAACCCGTTTTTAAATAACTATGTTTTTTAAAAAGATATTTAACGTAGTTAAGTATAAGTTTAATTATCGACGTAACTAGCCGAAGTAGTACCTCGCTCTATAAATCGAGGCCCGTTTAAAAGACGTCTAGGACTTATTTAATTTAAATAATATAAAGTCGCCTTTAAATCCTTTATTCTTTATTAAATTAATTTTATTAGTTAAAGAATACGTTAAGATACGAAATGCTATTTAAAAATAAGCTTATAGAGCAGCTTTAATAAAATATAACCGATAATTTAATTAATATACTTAGTAAAATACTTTTAAGGATATAGCTAAGGCCGAACTCGTACTTTGATACGAACTCATAGAATAACTAACTTTTTTAACGAAACCTAAGCTAGTTATAGTTAATTAAATACGCTTTTTAAAAGAATACGCCTCTTTTATTTAGTAAATAGTATTTAAAACGATCTCCCGGTTACGAAAAAAGAGATTATATAAATTAATAAATCGCTAAATTATTAACTCTATTACTTAGAATATTTTAAAGAACGTAAAAAAAGAATTTATTAATTCGTTAAACTACTCTCTTTATATAATAATCCGGGTTTTTAAATAAAAACACGCTCCGAGTAACTTAAGTTCGTTTATAATCGCCCGAAAGGAATTCAACGTAGTTATAAATAGGGCGAACTTTAATATTAATTTAATAACCTAGATTAAGGACTTTTATTACGTTTACCGCTATATAATATAATTTAAGCTACCCGAAGTCTAAAGGACCTTTGTTTTTAAATTTTTTTTTATATAACTGCGCGTTGCTTTACTTTAAATTAGTTAAATTAAGAGCTTATTAATATTATAAAAATAGAGCGAAAAGGCGAAGTCGTGCTTAATATAGGCTATTATACTAAAATATTTAACGATCTTTTATATAAAGAAGCGGTATATAGTAAAAGTCGTAAAAAAAACTTTATAATTTTCGTAATATTTATAGATCGTTTAGACTTGTTTAAGTAGAGCGAGAGTAAGCTTAACTCGTCTATAAACTACCCCTATAAGGGGTCCTATTATTAGAAATTAATAAACTACGCGAAAATAAAATACGTTTTTATAAAAAAGACGAAATAAGAATATATTTAGCTAGACGGAGCTGAGGTTAGTAAGATTATTTTTTATTTAAATACTAATAAATATATCGATCTTTATACCGACTTTATTTATAAAGGATAGATATAAGCAAGGGCCCTTAATAAATCCTTTAATAGTAATTAAAAAAAGGGTAAAAAACTAGGAAAGTAAAGAAAGCTAGTAAATAAATAGGATTTTAAAGCGTTTTATTTTTTAAACGTCGTAGCTATAATTATCGATATCGCTTTATTACCCGAGCTAAAAACGAAAAAGGATTAAAACGGTAATTCTATTATCTTTTTAATTCTTTTAATAAGTCTATACCTCCTTTTTAAATATATAGTTATAAATAACTACGGTACTGTTTACTTCGTTAATAACTAATCGCTTTTAAAACTAAGATTAATTTAATAATATAATAGGACCGAGAATATAGACTTAAAAACGGCGTTTTATTTAATATTTATTTATAGAACGAAGATTATTTAAAATATATTTATAGGACCGAAGGGATTTAGAACTAAAGATCTAACCCTTTATAATATCGGCCTCGTTAAAAACTTCTATATTAACGTTATATTAAAAGCTTTATTTTAAAAGACGGGTATTTAGTACTCTAGTTTTAACTATACCCTTTATTTTAATAATTAATTTAATAACGTCGTAATTAAGTAGCTCGTTAAAAAAGTTAACTTAGTCTTTTTAAAATATAAACTTTATTTATTTTATTCTTTATTTAGAAGTTAGTCTTCGCTAATAAATATAATTTTTATTAGAGGCTAATATATACTTCGTTCTTTATATTAAATAAAGGGCGACCGGTTAGACTTTATATAGCTTTAGTATTTCTAATTTAGATATCTCGTATTAATAATACTTAAAAAGCTCGTACTAGCTACTCGGGGGGTAAAGATTAAAGGACCGAGTTATTTAGAATATTAATATTATATAACTATTTATACGAAATAGGTTATTTTAAAACGTACTTTAGAGCGAAGAGCTACTAGGCCGTATTTTAAAATCGTTTAGGACCTATTCGATTATTTATTTATTTATAAACGAAGTAAGTGGCTTATATTAATTAAGGACGAGTACTCGGGTAAAATCTTCGTTTTTTTAAAAGTTATAAAGACCTACGATTTAATATTTAGGGTTTTATACCTTTTTAAATAATAAATACGTATTTAAAAAGGTTTTACTATTTATAAAATCTAATAAAACGTAGAACGTATAGTAATCGTAATTAATAGCGAGACTCGCTTTTAAACCTAAATAAAGGAGCTTAGAATCGAATTAGAGATTACCCCTCTATATATAAAAAAGCTAAATAGAAATAAAGAGCGAGCCGGTTAAGAAATTATTAATAAAGTAATTAATATAATATCCATAGCCGGCCTACTAAACGAACTTTAAATAAAAGCTATATTAATAGCCGTTTATTTATATAATATTAGCCCGAGATAACGTATTAACTAGCTTTTATTAATTTAAATTAAAGAAATTTAGTTTAGCTATTATTTTAAATAATAATAATTAATAAATACGCTAAGGCTTACCCGCGATCTACGTCTTTATTAAGGGTAAATATATATATATAGCTACTGAGCGTACTTTTTTAAAAGGGACTATAAAAAAGAAATCGATAAAAGATATTTTAAAGTAAAGTAGAGGGGTTATATTAAATATTTTATAGGATACGTAATAAACGTTTATAATTTATATAGGATCTAAATCCCCTCGCTTTTAGAGGTTATTATTATATATAACGTAACGTTTAACGAGACTACTTTTTATTTAAAGAACGATATAAAAACTATAATTTAATTACCTAAATTAAAGTCCGTAGTAAATAAAATTTAATAGCCGTTTATAACTATCGATTTTAAGCTCTAACTACTCGGAGTCGTAAATAAAAAAAAAGCTTTATTAATAATAAACTAAAAGTATTTATTATTACTTACGCTCGCTTTATAAAAAATAAACTAGACTATAGAAAAGTCTAGTTTATTTTTAAATAGATAAAGCGGGTAACTATTTACCCCCGAGCTAATTTTTAAACTTTAAAGTTTAGAACTAGGCCCGGCCCTTATATAGCCGACTAAAGTTATAAATAAAGCTATAAAAAAAGCCGACCCTTTTATTAAAAGGGTTAAAGACATAATATATATATAAATAGAAAAAGTAACTCCTATATACTTTTATAAAGAAGACCTTTTTATTTAACTAGACCCCGACGATTTTACTTAATTAACGAGCCTATATCGAGAAGCTAAAAAGGTAAACGACCTAGCTAAAGATTCCGAAACGGTTATTTTTAACGACTATAAAAATAATAAATATATTAAATAAAGCCGGAGGCTAAAAAATTAACCGCCGGAGGTAGTTATTTAAAACCCGAATTATAAAGAACGATTTAGGTAATATTCGTTCTCTTTTTATATAGAATAAAACTAGGACCCCTTTTTTAATACGTATATATTTAATTAATAAAAAGCGATTAATAAAGCGACTTAGGGATATTAAACGCTTTATTATTACGTTTATATTATAATTAATAGAACGAAGTATATTCTACTAACTATAGTTTTTAATAAAAGAATATATATAGATAACTTTATATTTCTTTTAAAAATATAAAAAGACGTCTTTAAACTATTTAAGCCCTTTAAAACTCGCTTCGTAGAGGCGGCTCGTATAGAGATTACGAAGTTAAAGGAGATAAATATTTAAAAAGTCGTTAATTAAATAACGGTTTAAAAAAAGCTAATACTATTTAAATAGGTATTTAACTATAAGTTTAACGAGGGTTATTATTTTAATTATTATAAAGCGAGGATATACGTTAAGGGGGATCTTTAAAAGCGATACTTTTTAAAAAAAACGTATATAGCTACCCTCGTTACTAAGACTTTTAGAGTAGCTATAGCTATTACTATTTAATTTAATTTAGAGGTCTATTAATATAATATTATAAATGTATTCTAAACGTAGTACGAAGACTAGGCGACCCTCTAATTATATATAAATTTCTAAACGGCTTTAAGTAATTAGGTAAATATATTAAATTCGAACGAGCCCTTTACGGGGCTCGTAACGCTCCTTTACTTTAATATAAAGAGCTCTTAATAACGCTTAGATCTCTTAAATTATTACTTATAAACGAGGATCTATACCTATTTTAAACTCTAAATAAGAGGGTCCTCGTTCTTTTTTATATAAACGATATCCTCGTCCTATTTTATAAAGATTATATTTATAAAGCCGGTTAAGTAATTAAAGGCTTTAAAAAGAAGTACGAACTAAAAGACTAAGGACTAGTCTCTTAGTATTTAGGTATTAAAGTTATCCGAGACCGACTAAACTATAAAATCTATTTTATTTATAATTAATATATCGAGAGGGCTATTAAAAAGTTTAATTTTATTAATTTAAAGGTATTAATAACGCTATTATTAACCGTATTAATTAAAAAAACCTAGGAGTTATATTACTAACCGAGACTAAGGCGTTCTAAAAAAAGATAGGGTCGATTTTATATATAATAATAATAATACGACCCGACATTACTTTTATATACGCTCTACTATCTCAGTTCTTTACGAACCTATCCCGTTAATACTATTTTATTATAAATTAAACTATATAATACCTTTTCTATATTTAATACTTTATAATCTATTTTAATACCTCGGGGGGTAGGTAAATACTTTTAATTATAAGTAATACCTCGTTCGTAAACGACGAAGAGACCTAAAGGTCTTTTTAAAAATATATTATCTCCTTTTTTAGCGGATTTATTTAATAAAAAGCTATAAAATAAAATATAGTAACGATATTAATAATTAAAGCCGAATTACTTAGCCTAAAATATATTATTAAAGAAATACTCGCTCTAAAACGCCTTTTTTATAATATATCGTTAGAGCTCGGCGACGTATAAAAGGTTTATTATAATAATCGTTAAATAATTAAATTTATAAAAAAGGAAGGGGAACGTATTTTAACTTACTTTTACTACGTCGATATTTAGAATATATAGCTTCGTTAAAAATATTTAAAAAGCTCTTTTTAAATAGTTTATATATTAATAAACGAAATACTAACCGACGGCTTTATAAAAAACCTTTTATAAATAAAGTTCGAGTACTTTATATCGCTCCTAAATATAAAAAATATATAGGAAATAATTATATAGAACGAGGGAATACTAAGGAGGTAATAGAACGCTCCGGGGGGCCTAGGTTTTTAATTTATAAACGTAGCCTATAGCTAGGGAGTATAAATTTACTTTAACAACCCCGTCGGGTCGCTATAAAAAAGTTATTTATTTAAAAAGGTAAGTGCGTATTCGTTTAAAAAGGACTTTAATATAAGTATTATATTTACGGGGATATAAATATTAACGAAAATATTAATTCCGATCTAAATATTATTAGCTTTTATATATAAAGTAGCCGGTATTTTTATATCTTTAACTAGCCTTTTTAACTCGGCCTCGAATAAAAAAAGAGCGTTAATAGACACCTCTTTTATTTTAGCCTCGTTTATATAAGCCTCCTCGTCTTTATTTTTATTTAATAGCCCGTCGGTTATTAAGGCCTTATATAACGCCGCCGTTATATAAATTAGGGCCTAGGGATAGTTAGTAATTATTTAGGACGACGATATATATATAGATTTACTTTTTATAAAGTCTCTACCGGGTTCTCTTTTTTTATTCGTTTAAAATATAAGAATTTCTCGTTTAGCTTATATATATACTTTTAAAAAGGAGCGTAACTAGATTTTTTATTAGTTTAGTAGTATATATATTTATTATTAGTAGTTAAGCCTAGGAAGTATTACCCCTCTATTCGTTTATTAAGGGCGCTTTTAATATAGCCTAAGTATTTAAAACCGAATAGTAGTAATACCCGTTTAAAAAGTCCTTTAATATTAGGGGTATTAAAAGGGTACGCTATTAAAAATTAAAATCGTAAACGATAAAGATAAAAAAAGATAATATATTTATAAAGAACCGCTTTGCGCTCGCTAGGAGGGGGCGAGGGAAGGGGCTCTAAACCTCTTTTACTTTTATTTTTTTTCTAAGCTATCTTTTTTTTAGTTTATTAACCGTTATTTATAAATAAAATCGTTAATAAAAATAAAAATAAAGTTACGGTACGATATTATTATTTTATTAACTAGGGTCTAGTACGAAAAAGGTATTACGTATTTAAAAGCGGATCGTCGTTATAAATAAAAGAGCTACTACTCTTTTTTAATTTCGTTTTAAAGCGCTTAGCTTTATATATTATAGTAATACGAGCGCGCTTTATAGCCCAGGTTATTTTAAATATTTATATTAAAACGATATTATTAGTTTTAAATCGTATTTCTAACGACGGGTATATATAGGAACGCGGGTATAAAAATAAAAAAGTAAGGGTATATATATAATTATAATATAAATAAAGGTTATAAAAAAAAAGGAAAGTTAAAATAGAGGGCGGCCGCAAGGAATTTATTTACTTATTTACTTTAGATTATAAATCGATTATTTAATTAATAAAAGGCCGCCCCTCGGTTTTACTTTTTATTAATAAAAGACCTTTAAAATTATTTATAATAACGAATACGGCTAGCGAATTACTACCTATTTACTTTATACCTATAACTTAACGCATAAAGCGATTTATTTTATAATTTCTTTTATAAATAGATTTTTATATAATATTATTTAAATTTCCGTTTTTAATAGGCTTTTTTATAACGATATAGGTAGTTAAGCGCGCTTTTTCTAGACGAGGATTTATCTAGGGGGGTATATCGTAATAGCTTTAACTATTAATAGCCTTATTATATATTATATAACCTCGGTTATATAATTACCGAGCTCTATACTCGCTCGTACCCTCTATTTTAGGACGAGCTTTATACCTATTTCTTACTTCTAATAGATAACCGTTCTCTATATTCAATGTCGATGCCCCTATTGTGACTATACGATAGTTGGCGAGCTGGAAGCTGGAGACAAAGACAAAGGTTCCACCGAGGGCAAGCATGATGTTTCCTAGGGAGTAGCCGTCAAAGGAAGCGATGTTGCGTGAGGCTGCCATGAGGATGCAACCCAGGGTAAGGCATATGCAGGAGGCGATCTAGCAAACCCGCCTACCATAGCGATCAAGGACAGAGCCGGCCAACAGGGAAGATACATTCGCTGTAACAGAGGCGGCAATAAAGAACAAGTTCAATCTGAGGTCTTGCTCGGTGCATGGAATGTAGTCGCCGTCGCCCACCACGCCCGGATCGTTGGCATCGCAGAGATTGCTGTAGACGCCCTCGGCGATCAGAATAGGTTTGAGGGCAGCGAATCCGAATACAATGCCCGCAGCTAGCCAACATGCCACTATACTAGTCGCTACTTGCACTGCGAGGTGTCAGCTCTGAAGTCGGGAGATAATCTAGCATTCAGACTGCTGCTCTTACCCCATCGTTTGGTGTTGGAGACCTTGTAAGCTGCGATTGGCTTCTCGGCGTGTAGGGTCTCGACAGGCGCAAAGCTCAAGCGCCTCCATTGCGGGTCATCGTTACTGCTATCTGTGTTGAATGGGTTGAGTGTACCGAAGATTGACTCGCCATTGCCAGTTGATTCGATGTGTTCTGTGGGACGTTCGTAGTCGAAGCCTTCGGCCTGGGTGACGTGCTGAGCGAGAGACATTACCCGAGTATTGCTGAAGTAATAATGCTTTGCAAAAGAGGATTGCAAATGGACCAAGAAAATGGAGAGTATTTGCGAGTAGGAGAAAGTTGAGAGAATAGTCTATAGGATAAATAAGATGAATGTCTATCGTACATTTTCACGAATCGAGGAGAATCCTCGCGTTTCCATCGTACCACGTTACGACGTTGCGACGAGTTCTCCTGCCGTACAACGCGCACGCGGCCGCAGGATGCCGTGCCTGTGACGTAACGGAGAAGAGTTGAGGAAGGGTGGGGAGAGAAAGTTAGAGCTTTCCAGCAATTTCCAAATCCCGGGATGCCCGGGCAAGCGGCCGGCTATCGGGGTGGAGCCTTACCGGGATTGGCCCCAGTAACCTTGACGGCCCGGACCGTGGGCGGGGACTCGGCCCCGGTCCTAACTTGCTGGCTGACAAGCAAGAACGGCTTTTCGACGGCATTGGCTTTTCGTACTGTTGCAAATGGAGGTGTTTGGGGTGAGTGGCTGCCAATGCCATTAGGCAAACTCAATGTCGGCCCGTATCCGTGATTGGTGTAAGTATGTCTGCTCTGTAACCTGTGGGAAAATGGCGTTAGTAATGTTACGGAAGAGGGACTATGCTGGAAGAGGAGAGATCTTAAGTTCATCAACACTACATCTAAGCAGGATAATCATCATTCAAAGGGCCACCAGCCAAAAATTTGCTAGAAAGGCGTGCGGAGAGATACAAATATTAATTTGCTCGTCGCAATAGCGGGAATAATCCGGTGGATCTGTACGTTCTCGGCGCAGGGCACACCTAAACCCACATGCAATCATTCGATCATGAAGTTGATGTCTCAAGGAGAGAAGATTCTCGGGACGACTCGAGGTCCTTGTCTCATTCCAAGTCTCCAAGTCTCCAAGTCTCCAGGTCTCCACCGGTATGGTGGGTCCAACCCCGACACTCGCATTTGGAGCTACCTATCTGCTTTCGGAACTTTTGTGCGCCTTGTAAGACGGAAACGCCTGTGCACGGCATACTTTGGAGCACTCGAAGTGATTTCGATCCTTCCAGGCTGAAAGTTTGGCCGTCGGATGCGAAAGCTGAGAATTGTAGTTTCCCCGACTGAGCACAAGCTTACGGAATCTCAAAGCAAGGGAAACATGACGCTGTCTAGAATCTCTTGGAGCACTGTGTAATTTGTCAGCTGGTTCTCCGGGCATTGTCATGTTCTGGTGAATTACTTGCTTGATGCTGAAATAGAAGTGCCTTGATATTAATCAGGTATGAAGGATGTTGTCTGTACATAAACCAAGGCAATCGTCCTTGAATCAACACTTGAAACTTGACATCAGCATCAGAACATCAACACATTATCTACCATCTCTTCAAAGACACAAATATCAGATCAAGACCAAAATCTTTATTGATCATGAGAGAAGCAATCTTTGACGGCAATCTCGAGGTTCAGATCCACGATATTCCGATACCAACCCCAGGGCCCGGACAGATCTTGATCAAAACCGTCGTCTCTGGGACCAATCCCAAAGACTGGAAAGTCCCAAAGATTTGGGCTTCGAACCTTCCACCTCTCAACCATGGAGATGACATTGCAGGATTTGTTCAAGGTGTTGGTGAAGGTGTCCTCGGCTTCAAGGAGGGAGACCGGGTTGCGGCCTTCCACGAAATGAACACCCCACATGGAAGTTACGCTGAATACTCCATCGCTTGGGCTCAGTCGACCTTTCTGATTCCCGAAAGGACCAGTTTTGAGGGTGAGTTACTGCACGTCATCTCGCCTAATGCTGAGTTAATGCTAACAAGTCATGCTCCAGAGGCGGCCACAATCCCACTTACTGCTATGACCGCTGCTCTTGCTTTGTACCAAAAGCTCGATCTGCCGCTTCCTTGGAATCCAGCCAAGATAAGTTTGCCTCTTCTCGTCAACGGTGGTGCTACAGCTGTTGGTGCCTTTGCCATCAAGCTCGCGACCCTCTCCAACATTCATCCCATCATCGCCGTCGCCGGAAGTGGTAGCCCTTACGTGGAAACCTTGGTCAACAAGGAGAAGGGAGATGTCGTCATTGACTATCGAAAGGGAGAACACCACGTTCTCGAGCAAATATGTCTTGCAGCCGGGGGGCAGCCCATCATCAATGCTCTAGATGGCGTGTCCGAAGAGCAGACTGTCCGGATCGTTGCAAAGGCCCTTGCCCCAGGCGGCAAGATCTCAGTCTTTCTACAGACCTCCCCCAGCGATATCAAGGCCGAGATCTTGTACACCATGGTGGGCACTGTTCATGCCTCGAATGAGACTCCAGGTTCTCCCTTAGGCGACAAGGAGTTCGGGTCCGTGTTCTATCGCTTCTTCGGGCTGGGATTGAAAGAAGGCTGGTTCAATGGTCATCCTTATGAGGTTCTCCCCGAAGGCCTTGCCTCTTTGGAGAAAGCACTGAAAGACCTAGAAGCCGGCAAAGTCTCTGCTAGGAAGTACCTTCTTCGCATCGAGGACACTAAGTGAATCCACGTTGAAGTGATTATAGCCCATGTCAGGGCAGTGGGTGACCACGGCAAAACAAGGTCGAGAAGGTGATTGAGCAGGGTTGTTAATTATGTAGACTTGGTGATCTAAAATGCAAACACCGTCTTTCTGTCATAGTACGTGATCATTGCAGTTGAGCGAGAGATATCAATATGCTATCACAGAGTGAATGATTAATTTTGACTTGGTGTAGCACCGAGAACCTTGCCATTTGCGAACTTCCCCTTCCATTCCTCATTGACATCACTGTAGTCTTCTGGCCCATAAGGCGAATACCACTCGACCATGAATCCTTTCTTCCGGTAATGCGCGAGACCGAGGTCGCTCAGCAACAGGTCTAGGTAAGGTACCGCATCGAACACGAAGCTCGGGCACTTGTTGGAGCCCCAATCTGTAGGGTAACGCCAATGACCGAAGCGATTCATCAATACTGTTTCATATTGCAACTTTTGAATCGCCGTGTCGTCACCGACTGCCCCTGCAGGATCTTTGGCAAGGAGACCCGAAAAGTACGCACTGATCCAAAGGCCTTGAACGTGAGCCGTGATGACATTGCTAAAATTGCCGACCATGCCGATGAAAGCTGTGTCACGTGTGCGTAGGAAGCGTTCCGATGGCGGTACGATGAAGTGATGAAGCATGTACGGGGTAAGCGGTCGGTAAGGAGTTACTGCGTCGTCGCTGTCGATGCCCTTTTGATCGGTCAACGGCACGTAGTTCTTGTTCCATACTGGCTGATTCTTGAGCCTTGGGAAGCGATCCAGGATCTCTTTGTCGGCTAGGTCAACAAGATCGGCCTGACCGGCGAGATCCTCACGTGGCGCGTTCTCGATAGGCGCATGCGGTATACCAAGCGCCTTCTCGATACCATCCGGGAGAAACTTGATTGGTGGGACATGTTTCCAGCCAGTGTGAGCTAGCAGAACATCGGCGGGGAACTCGGTTCCATCGGATAGATGAACCGTTCCAGAACTGAGGTGGTCGATCTCCCCGAGATGAACTTTGACCTTACCTTCTTTGACCAAATCAAAGAAGTCGGTATCATAGTTGAGAATGCTGAAGCTGGTGCCTGTGAACATGGCCTCTGTCCACGGCTTCAATTTTGCCGTGTCTGGGTGGGAGTCGTATGCGTTGAGCGTTATCACATCGCCGCCAAGCACTTTCCAGAAAGCATCGACGATCATCCTACCAATGGCAGTGCCATGGAGAAAATGACGGGTGCCAACATAGCCATCAGCATCACCCCACAAACAAGGGCTGAACCAGGTCAACATTCGCGTGTCTACCGTAGTTCGAGGGATCGTTAGCTCCGTGAAAGCATGTCGAGAAAGAGCAACTAAATACTGACTGGCAAGCTTTTCCAACCACTTTTTGAGTGGAGTGACATATGGGGGTGCCATCCAGCAAGGTCCATGGCCCGTTGCTATCGCTGAGTTAGTAGGCGTTCAGATCTCGAACTGAAGTAGACTTACACCGGATGACCCAATTCACCTTCACACCGGCAGTTGCGTACGAGTAGACGGCATCCCATGCAAATTTCGTACCACCAAAGATTGTCACGGTCTTGGCCGTCTCCAAAGTATCGGCATTCTGCTGGAAGTACTTGCCGTGAAAGATGCGACCGCCGAAAGACTCTTGGTCATCGAAATGGGGCAGCCATGGTTCCGACGTCAAGCCAGTCGCAATGATTAGTCGTCGAGCAAATACTCGGACCTCTTCATCTTTGGAGTCCGCAACTGTCAAGAACCAGCCACCTTCGCTAGTCTCCTGATGTTCTGCCACAATGACCTTATGGCTCGATCGGATCTTGTCAGTGATGCCGAACTTGTCGGCATATGCTTTGAGATAGACGCTGATGGTTTCGCCTGGAATATGCTGCCCTGGCCTGATGTTGAATCTTTCACTGTCCATGGGGAAGTCAGGGTATTCATAAGTTCCCAGCATATTGTTGCTTTTCAAGCCCGGGTATAAACGCTCCTCTGCCCAAGTGCCACCGAGCGTGGGCTGCGAGTCAAAGACAACTAGCGAAGACTCTGGGTGCGTGCAGTGATACTGCTTTGCGGCGGCTAGACCATACCATCCTGCAATGTCATGTTAGTTTACGGCATTGCGTCACTCCATTGGACCTCGACGCGAAACTTGTCTGGACATGGAGACATGTAAATCCGGAGGGTCTGGAATAAGTTACCTGCCCCAACTACAATGCAGTCAAAGTTTTCCATCTCGTCAGCAGTGAATCTGATTCGGAAAGACTTGTGTGATCAGTGTCGAAACAGTCGGAGACGCGCCGGGAAGGTACTCTTGATGAACCTCTGCTCAAGGCACGACTCAGGAGCGACTAACGGAATGTAGTTCGCCAACGGCCGCCAAGTTTGAATGAGACGACAACGGGATGGTTCCCGGGATCCCATGTCCTGCCGATCCTCTCTGTTTGGAAGGTGATACTACGTGCGGAAATACCCAGTTTGCGAGGATTCTCTAGATTGAGAAGTGATGGCAGGGTTAGGAGCCCCTGAGTTTGTGCTTGAGTGCAGACTTGGCTGTAAAAGTGTTTATTAAACTCTGAAGAACCAACCCCGGGCCCACTTCCAACGGACAAGAACTGCGATGCATGTTGGTTTTATCAATTTCCTTTAGGGTTACATTCGGGATTACGTATAACGGCGGGCGACAACGACTGGTGTTCATCGGGGACGTCGGGAATTCCTCCAGGTTCCCCGCGGCTGCATCAGTGATTGGATGTTCTTCTTCGGGGCTACTCGTACATGCAACGGTTTGTGGATCAGGAACTGGCAAAACATTGAACCAACCAGATGTTAGTCCTGATGAACTCTTATGGACAAGGGCTTACTTATGTGCGCGCCAAAAGTTGTGCCATATTGAACGCTTGGATGCTACCATTTATACAGACACACGCCATGAACGAGTCAGCCGTTGACCGAAGAGTTCGGATGGCAGAATACCCCTGCTCATCGACATGCAGTTGGCCGACTCGCCGTAGCATCCAGCAATTATTTCGCATATATGCAATCTTCTGATTGAACCGTAGCAAGTCCGGACTCCGGTGACCAGTCACGAATCGAGTCTCTTGTCTAGTCCCACCCAAGGCGCGCGTCTTGCTCTCAGGAAGTTAGGTCCCTGAGGGCAGGCAGGGCAATGTGGCAATCTTCAATCCTTCGAAACTCTCTCCAGTTCAGGGTTACACTGAGCCGTTTGTTAGCTCGACTGAAATTTTCAATGACATGATGCTCAGATGCGCGGCCAAGTGTAGGCATCTGCAAATGGCAAAGAATTGCGCCATGGATGTAACGGCAAACCAACATCGTAATAATATTCCAAGCAAGACAGCTTGACATGCTGAAAATGCTCTGCCACTTACCGCGTCCTCGGGTTTTCCACTCCGCGGGTGGCACAGTCGGAGCATCGTTGAAAACATGCAGACGAAGTTCCTGCTTCTTTCTTGATGGGTGCCCGTGGATTCATACAACAGTTTGATCAGAAGCATCAGTGCTTGTTTGCTGAGCAGGATCACAACCGAGCTAGATGAGATCCCTTGATAGTAGGCGTAATCTCACGTTTGGACGATCTAGAATCTGCCACCGTGTTTCCCTCGCACACCAAGCGCGTGGGCCTTGGGAAAGCTTCGGCAATGCGATTTGGTCCGCTGCCGTTTCCGGCACATGTAATCAACGTTGAGGAAACCTCAAACATTCTCCTGGTGGCACAGCTGAAGGGTGTCAGCGAGGATGGAGTTCAACCGCTGCCATGGGTGTGGATCGGCGCCGGTCTTTCGGGCTTGACAAGTGTCGATCGAATCGAGTAAGGGCTTCGCCCATAATGGGTGCTGTGGGCAAAGATTATACAAAGTAGACACCCCGGGAACCTGCATGCCTTCCAGAGACTCTCCTGAATCTTCTGGCCGGTTTCTCTCGTTAATTCTGTTGTTTGCATCTCATCTCTTTCAAGTCGTTCTTGTACAGTATCGGACTCCGGTATGTCGTCAACGGCTGCCATGGACCCCGCCGCAGCGGAGGCCGCCGCCGCCGCAGCTCAAGCGGCTATGCAGTCATTCACAATAGAGGCGTGGACTCTCTTGACGGTCGGCGTTCTTTTTACTATGTTGAGGACCTACGCCAGGGTCAGGTCTGTAGGCTTCAAGGGCCTCCAAGCGGATGACTATCTTGTTTGGGTCGGTGCGGTTAGTACCTCTGTCTCTATCCGCGTACATTTCATGGAAGTTAACATCTAATGTCAACTGCAGATATTCTATGCGATTGAGACTGCGCTGGCGCATTCCGTCGGGGCTGTCGCGAAGGGTATGGCGAACAATGCCATGACGGATGAGCAAAGGGTAGCCCTATCCCCAGATAGTGATGAGTATCGACTAAGGTCAGAATTCTGCACCCTTGAAAAGTCTTCTTACTCACCTAGATATCTTCTAGGGTTGTTGGTTCTATCATTCAGTTGTGTGGATGGTCGAGTTACTCGGTCTTGTTGTGGTCGCTCAAGGCATCACTGCTAGTGTTCTATCTACGGCTGACCGTAAGTGAACAACTCGAATCATGCGTTAAACTATGCCGAATATTAACCAATCAAGGCGGGTTTGGGTCGCGGTTATCGACTTCGCATCTACTTTGGTTTCGGGTTCCTCGTCCTCAGTTGGATCGTCGTCATCATGAATCTTTTTCTCGCTTGCCGACCCTTTCACAAGAACTGGCAGATCAATCCTGACCCTGGGAGTAAAATTGTCTCAAGTCACAACTGATTGCACGAAAGCCATGCTGATACGACTACCTCACAGACGTTTGCCAACCAGCCATCTCCAATCAGGTTGTTTGGGTGTACTTGGCGTTCAACGTGTCCACGGACCTGTACCTTTTGTCCATCCCCTTGCCGATGCTATGGCAAGCAAGACTCAAGCCCATCAAGAAATGGGGTTTGCTGTTTCTCTTTAGCGGTGGATTATTTGTTGTCGTGTGCGCAACCCTGCGTTGTATCTTGATTGTCACAGTGAGTTTACCTGTTGTACCACTCGAACTCTTGCTCACCTTCTCCTTTCTAGGACCCCAAGAACGGTGCACAGCTAGCGGGATCATGGGCCGTTCGTGAGACCTTTGTTGCCGTCATTACCGCGAACCTACCGATGGTGTTCTCCATCATCAAGATCTGGCTTGGGCCCGTTCTTGGCTCTCTTCTCACTTCACTGCGATCAACGCAGAAGCTCACCGACGCGACACCGAAAGAAATACGCACTTTCGGGGCCGGTAGCAACCAAAGCTGGCGGGGTCGCGGACCCCCTTCAGCGTACCCGATCACGAACATCACCCTCAACGAGAGTGAAGAGCGCATGGTGAACGAGTACAAGATGCAGGACGTTAAGACCTGGGGTGATCCCCATGCCGATAATACAAGTGGAACTACGAGATCAAACAGCGTCCGCCGAAGTCACAGCAACCGGCGGAAGAATACCGATATCCGAAAGGATGTAGAAGTTGCCATCACCACAGAGTATATGCCGCCGGCGAAAGACGCGGAGGGGAATGTCAAGGTTCTGTCGCCAAAAACTTTCACGTTTGCCAGAGGCCCGAAGAGGCAGTCTGTGAATAATTCTGATAATCAGATATAATGTATGGCGACTTAAGGGAATGATAATGTTGAAGCGGAAATCGTAACTAATTCTCTATGTAGAAAGATTACACCATACCCATCCAAACATTTGTGCACGTTTGGCCAATGACAATGATTAGTTTTGTTGATTTAGGCATCTGCATTCGAAGTAGGGAGCGGGTAGTATTTGCTACAAAGGTGTACGGCGTGCAGAATATGGAAGCCTTGACTAGGCACCTATCAATGCAGCATGTCCGTACCCTTATTACCTTATCTCAATACTCAAAGCTTCCATGCAAGTTTCATAGATGAAAGATCTTGTTGTTTAACCGCAATACTTGCAGAATCATCTGCCTGGTTGCTTGGGCGACAGAATCCAGGCAGCGACTTTTGGAGGCCTGAGTGCTCCGCGTTTCTCGCGCCCCCTCTGGATCAGCACACAAAAGTACACAAGACCCATTAAGACGTGATGCGAACATCTTAACGACGAGTAAAGAAGAATTCATGAGATATAAGTACAGCCGAATGTCCCAAAGACAATATGAAATCTTCTTAAAGCCAATGAGTTGCTTTAATTATCTTTCTTGTTTAAAAATACATGATTGACTCTGCACATCAGTCGCCATGGACGAATATCACATCAAGCACACGCCCTGGTACCAGGCCTCCGTGGAGGCCTTCAGCGCCAAAGCAGCCAAGAAAGACATGACCGGTGCACTGGATCCGAACACTACCTCCAACCCCGACATGATCGTAGCAGCCCGACTTCGGCCAATTTTGGAGGACGAAGTAGCCGCAGGTCTTATTCGTGGAGTTTTCCCTAGAACCAGCGGTAATGGCGCCGTAGACATCCACCAGATCCGAAAGCACATCAAGCCTCTGGGACCTCCTACGCTTACAGTAAGCAGCCACCTGCTTGGCACAGCTTCAAACATCATGATCTCATCTGACATACTTTACAGACCACTTCGGTTCAGCTCGACAAAGCCTATGGTCCAGATGACACATCTGAGCAAATTTACCAAGATCTGGTTGAGCCGTTGGTTCCCTGGGCATGGAGCGGCGGTGTTAGTACCGTGTTCGCCTATGGTCAGACTGGCTCTGGTAAAACCTTCACAGTCAGCGAGATTGAGAAGCTGGTCGCGAAGTCGCTCATGAGCGGGGCTATGGAGGGAGAGCGTAAAGTGTATGCGTGCATCATTGAGCTGGCTGGCAACTCTTCTTTCGGTATTTCGAATTACATTCCCTTACTACATGTAACTTGCTCTAACATGATGTCCTAGACCTCTTGAACTCTCGAAAGCCAATCTCGGTTTTGGAGGACTCCTTCGGTATCACACAGCTTGCTGGCGCCCTGGAAATCGAAATCACCGAAGCAGCCACCTTACTCGAGCTCATAGAAAAGGCAGCAACCTTCCGCCGCACAGCATCGACGTTCAAGAATGACGCGTCATCTCGCTCCCACGCCATTTGTCGCATCCGTATCGAAAGTCCCATACCAACAGCCGAAGACGGACTCCTTTACCTCATCGACCTGGCAGGTTCGGAAGCCGCCCGGGACATTGCCAACCACACACCCGACCGCATGAAAGAAGCCCGGGAGATTAACACCAGCCTTTCAGTGCTGAAGGACTGTATTAGGGGCAGAGCGACCGTCGACGTGGCATCTCTAACGGGCAAGACCAAGAGCCCGACGTATATTCCATTCCGGCAGAGCTCCCTTACCAAGATTCTGAAGCATGTTTTCGATCCTGCCGGGAGACGTAGCTGCAAGACTATGGTACTGGCCTGCGTCAATCCCAGCCTTCCAGATGCTGGCGCCGGAAAGAATACGCTTAAGTATGCCGAGATGCTGCGGGTTTTGCTGCCCAAAGCCAAGGCTCAGTCCTATGACCCTGAGACGCCCGCAACGTGGGACAATAAACGGATAAAGACCTGGATCAACAGCAACGTGAGTTCATCTTACATACCGACCGATGAAGCAAGCTAACATGTTGAAGTCTGGAAGCCCTGCAATTTCTGGCGAGCTCGTTGCACCTACCGAGACCGGTTCGCTGCTGCTCCGCCTTCCCACCCCCGAATTCCTCACCCGCTGCTTGAAGACTCCGGGAGTCGATGAGGACCAAGCTCGCGCCTTTCATGCAAAGTTCTGGCGTTTGCATATAGATTCGCAAAAGTCCGGCGGGAAGAAGACAGAAGTCAAGAGCGAGGCAGAGCCTGCCGAGGAAAAAGGCCGCAAGACAGCCATGAACCAGGAGATGTTATCATCTAGCGTAGACCCGAACCCCAAGGCAAATGACGCTCCTTTCAAAGAGCGCATTCGACCAGGAATGGCTGTGCGCTGGACGCCACCTTCGACTTTTCGAATGGGCCTTCCCGGGCTGAACATGGTAGTTATTCTGTGTCCTCAGTTGGCGGTCGGACCGACTGTGAGAGATTTGAGTGGTGACTTGGTCAACCAGTCAGGCTTCACTTCGACGAGAGGAAGCAAGTATCTCTGCGCAATGGTTCTCCCTGGCTTCATGGCCGATTCATATGAGTTGAGCATGTGGCGTCAGGTAGTGGTAGATGTAGATCAGATGGAAGCGGAGGTACTTCTCGAGTATGATTCGGGAACTAGATACTATCACATTACCTTGTAATTCGATCAAACACATTTCGGATCCTCCAGTAATCGATACCCAATCATTACCGCCATGGTGATTTCCATGTTGTTTGCCGCAAACGATAATCATCTACTTCAACGAAAGACTTGGACGACGGATCGCTGTTGGCATTGAAAACGACATTAGAGCTGGTTCTGTTCGACTTCTCAGCAGTCCATGCCGGCCATATGGGAGTCCCGGGAACTGATTCGAGTCAGCAGAGTACCAGGGTTTGCATCTAAGGAAGAAGCCTAGAATACCTCCATGATTATTCGGGTTGAGATTCGACACGAAAGACGCCCATGCCCTACCCATGAGCTTCGAAGCCGTGGCAAACTGTGGCTCGCTCATCGTGTCTTCTTCAAGGGCGTCGAATATGAAGGAGACGTCTATTGAATGGTGAGACCCCAGGCGAGGAGTGGTGCTAGGAGGCAGCAGGTTCACACGAGCTGAGTATGCTTTCACACCAGCAGCGGCCCAAGCCTTCAACGTCATACGTCGGGAAGTAGTCTCGACAATATCGGTATGGAACTCGACCCCGCGCTTCCACTGAGATCCATAAAGCTGGTTATCTTCAGCGGTCGGGCTGTATCCGGCTGGAAGCCCTGTGCCGTTGGTGTTGGGGTAAAGTCGCTCAATGGCGGAGACGGTGAAGTTATCTGGACCCCCTGCTGCGACCAGAGCCCTAAAGTCGTCGTCCGTATCCAACTTCCCGCCAAACATGAAGACGGTTGCCTCGCCAGTGGTGGTGGAGTACATGATTGGCAAACGGACGAAGTGGCCCTTCTCGAGTGACTCCGTGGGTCCATCTTGAAGGAAGTCGCCATCGACCTGAGTGAGCCAGGGACCGAGACCCGTGCCTGGGAATACCGGTGTGGTGCTCACGTTCAGGACGGCGGAAATGGTTTCCACAGGCAGGTTACGAAGGCACTCAAACGGACTGGCTGTCTCAGAACAAGACGTTGTCTATGTCAGGTTCCGATAAAGGTCTGCGGTGTAGGTTGCTAGGTCCTTCACATTATAAGGCCACTTTTCGGCCATTCCGCCACTCTGCATGATCGCACCATGGAATAGACCGTCATCTCTGTCTCCGTAGGCAATGAGTTGTTTGCCGATTGACAAGCCTCCAGCGCTCTGGCCAAAGATTGCCACACGACGCGGATCGCCGCCGAAGAAAGCAACATTTTCTTGTATCCAGTGGAGGGCCAGACGCTGGTCCCGCAGACCGTTGTTGGCACTGCCGTTGACTTTCACCCCGTCAGACCCCCAGATGAACCCAAACGCCGAAAGCCGGTAGTTAATGGAGACAGCTATCAGAGGTTTCTGTGCTGCAGATGCTTGGCGCACAAAGTTTGTGAGGTTGTTGTCTCTAGATGAACCTGCGTATAAGCCGCCGCTACGGTGGTCAGTCAGTTCATCGTTGGTCAGACAAGTTTGGCGTGGGAGATTCTAAAACTCAACCATGAATCCAAACGGCGACAGGAAGGAGTCCGGTGCTATTGAGGCTGCTCGGGCGGATGACGTTGAGTGAGAGACAGTCTTCAGACATTGGGTGGCTAGGAGGAGCCTGAAGGTTTGATCAGTACTAATTACTCAAGTAGAGAAGTTGACAGGCCTGTGCTCACAGTATATTGCATGCATATGTCTCCATAATTCGTCACAGGGCGAGTGCGAGTCCACGTTGAGTTGATGCTTTGTGGTGCCTTGAAGCGGAGGTTGCCAGTGGGAGGCTGGGCATATGGCACGCCTAGGAAAAGATCTTGTTGGTAGCTGAGGAGAGACAACCCCTCGTAGGTGCCATTCAACACCTTCACCGTTGGTCCTGCAGAAACATGATGGGCGAGCAGAAGGATGATCGACAATGCCGTCGAAAAGCCAACTCCAGAGTACATCATGATGAAGATCAAGTGCGAGTCATGAGACTAACAGCGGAACATGTACTGCAAGCCCAGCCAAAGCGCTTCTAAGTCGTGTAAGTTGGCACTGGTGCCCACGCCCTCTCAGAACCACCTCGCCTTGGCTCAGTAACATCTTATAGCAAACATCGTCCATATTGATGCGACTCGAGCCAGTTACCCGATATCTTGATGGCAAGGGCCAGGTTTCCGATGATAAGGTACCAGTAATATGCCGATCAGGTCCACATTGCCGCGCGGGGCATGGTGACAATGCGGGGACCGGTGTCAGAAAGCCGGTCATGGACTGAAATGGAAAAGCGAACACTTGCTTCAGCATGGTAGTTGCAGCTAATCAAACAGACAATATTTGGGTGATTACTGCGATGTAAACAGCCAAATATCGAGCGCCTCTTGGACACAAAGGGCCGCCGATTTGCGCGTTTCGGCGGTTTCTCGATCCCGGTATAGTCATAGCGCCACCTTGAGAGGAAAGAAATGAAAGGCTAGAGAGCAAAGTTCGTATTCCCTCGTCATTTTCTGTGCCGCAAAGGGCTCCGGAGTGTCATATTGCGGTGGATCCGAAACTAAATGCATAAGAATCTGTCTCTGTCAGCTTCTGACTTTAACACAACAAGGTTGGCCTGGCTCGCGCGAAAAATCGCAGCGAGGTGGAAATGAATCAGTGTAGATTGGTGGTGATGCGGCAAGTCTATGCGCTCTCTATACAAAAGGCTCCTCCATGATGATTCTGCACTACTCTGGAGTTCAATCAAAATCTCTCGGGTCTGGCGAGTCAATGTCAACAAGTCGTTGGGTTCTTCTTCATCTATCGCGGCCTAATCTCTCTTCATCGTCTTCCGTAAGCTCGTACGCAGGTCGGAAACCCGCACCGTTTTGTCCTTCGGTCTTCAGCTGAGGGTTGGGATGGGTATCTTGCGTTCCACCTAGACTCGTGTAGCCCTTGAAGATGTTAGTCATCCATTTCTCTTTCCCTGAATCAACGGTCTTACCTGGTCATATAGAGGGCAGTACGGTATTTCCAAATGTCGAATAAACTATCGTGTGGTCAGTTCCCATCCTGTTACTAGTATATTGTCTCCATAAAAGCATTGTCGCAAAGCCTCGGCAAAATGTGTCAACTTACTGCCCAAATCTCGGCTGTGGGAAAAGGTTAGCAAGCAATGTTACTACATCATGACAATGGTGGCAACTGACCATAATGCCAATCGATTACAGGATGCACCCGCATAAAGGCAGGCCAACCGGAGTCCGTAGGGTCAAAATCTGTCAACTTCTCGCCGTGGGGGTCTGTCCTCCTCGTCCCCACGAAAATGGCTTTTACGTTTGGTCTGTCTACTAGGTATGCCTCGAGACCATCTTTCATTGTCATGGCATATCGTTTTACGTCTAAGTGGTATTCGGCGCTCGTGGTTTCGACAAAATCGTCAACTTCGGCGAATGGATGCTTCGATACGATGTACACTGCCTGGAATTCAGGAGGGAAGGAAGTCGTGCCGTTCGACCCGTTCGTTTGGGAGGCTTTCGAAGGAGAGGGGTATCGACGTGCGAGGGCGGCGAGGAGTATGATTAGGAGTACGAGGCCTGTCAAAGTGAGTCTGTCAGCATCATAGGCTGGGCTAGGACAGATGACGGTATGCGACAGCAAAGGCGGTGCCATGTCTCGATCCGAACGATTCGCAATGCTCTATGGAATACGTCGAGAACGCAAGATGTGAGAACATACAGTCTTTGCCTCCATTGTATGAGATTGAAATCTGTTCCAGGCTGCCTCGGCGCATTAGCGACCCACGCGGATACAAGATAAGAGCTGACATGGCGTGTCGCGCATCGCGCACCTGTATCTTGCCAACGCCTCGTCAACGACACCCATTGACGCGCGCAGCTGCTTTTGGACGTTGCGCAGAACATCCGTCTTCTGGTCATCCGCTAAGAAAGCGTCGACCTTGTCCTTCAGCTCGTGGCACACTTCCTGGAAACTCCGCGGGAACGACTCGGATGAGTGGGGTTTGGCGGGGTAACCGTTGGCAGCCGCGGCAGCGTGCTCGCCGTTCTCGTTTGACATTATGTGGATGGCGTCGAGACTGCTTAAATCGGCGATTATGGAATACTAGGAAGATGAAGAGTGTCGTCAATAGCCAAGGTGGCAGGAGGGCAGGCGTACAGGCGGGAGGAGTGGAATGGGGCGGAAAGTCATCGACTTCGGTGTCCTGTCGGAGACGGCGATGGCGGGGACGTGCGGGCGGGCGACACTTGCCATTTTGCCGGCTTATCTAAGATCTCCCATACCTTCCTTGAGGTACCTCACCTCGGGCTGCCCACCGCCTTCTTTGGGGGGTTTAGCGCAGCACGTGCAAGGCTACTCATCAGGTCTAGCGGCCCGCCCGGAACCGAGACCCCGAAAAACGCATTCACGCCGAGGCCACATGTTCCTGACTCGGCAGCTTTCTTCAGGGTCCACTTGGCCCACCGTGCCCACCTCGGACTTGTCTTTCTCCTTCTGGAAACAACATGGAAAAACCCTGATGCCTGCCACCTACCGTCATTCCTCCTTCTTGCAACTCTAAGTTCAGTCCCTCAATTTGATGCCATTCACAAGTTACTACTGCATTACTTTCCAAAAGACTTATCAATATGACTCTTTTCTGCTGCCCTGGAATTACTCCTTTGATAAATGATCCCCAACGCCTTGCTAAACACATTTGCCCCCGGTTCTCTCCATCATTAGGGCCCTTCTCACTCCTCGTTAGATGATTCTGATAGCGGCCGGGACCGAGGAAGAAGCCTTGCAGGGCTGGTGTACGACCTCGGAGGCGGGCTCAATGGTGTGACGAGTTCTTCATCTAGCGGCCCAAACACGTCAGATCCATCATCCGACTCTCCAGCCGGCATCGCTGGAGTGATGTCTGTCACGGTAGTCAATCCATGAATATTTCCCTTCTGGTTGTAAGGCGCCTCTGGCGGCATCTCCGGCTCCATGTTCGTGTCAAAGCCCATCTCGATGTCAAAACCCAAATCCATCGTCGTTATGTTTTGGATGCTTTGCTGACTGTGGCTCCCGAACGTTCCCCCATTGATCCGCTTATGAAATAGTTTCGCCTCAGCGCTTGCTTCAGATCGTTGTCGGTTGTAATATTGCGAGCAAGTAGATCTCGGAGACCGAAGCAGAGGTCGAAGTGTCGGTATGCAAGCGCAAATCACGGCGCAGCAGAGCTCGACCTCGGACCAGATCAGTGATGGAATCACATCCCACGTTACATCAGCTGTGAATACATGGGTAAGAGTAGACATCCTGACAACAGAGATGGCCGTTGTGCTGAAATTCAGAAATCAGTAAGAGCAATGCTTCACCGGGATATGGATCACAAGCTCACATGAATCCAACGCCAAATGTAACAATCAGCGCAGCCTTCTGAGCTCGTTTCAGATTCAAGCTGCTCAAAAGAGGGATCGGCATGAAGAATATGATCATGTCGGTCACCAAGTGAACTGCAGCTGTTGCCATCCACCACGCCCCCTGGTCGTACCGCTCAAACGCAAAGGTGTCGCCTCTCCAACCTGGTGCGCTGATAACGACGGATGACACCACTACGGCAATACCGAATACCGCAATAAAGCCCAGCATTACATCGCAAACAAGACAGAACGTGGGGTGAGCGAATACTCGTCGGTATAAAAGGAGTAAAGCTATCTTCACAAGAATGAAGGTAATATGGTATGATAAAGTTGCGGCAATCGTCGCCTGTAGCAGGTGTTAGCATCGCAGATTCCTCAGTGCACATTCACAATCTACAAGATCACACTCACCCTGCGACCATTCTGCTGGACTTCAACGGGAACTGTCCAGACATGCATACCAAGCCCAAATATGGTGCCTTTCAGATTGTTAGTCGAAGTCTTCTCCCTCATGTTGCCATGGGTTCAAGAAGCTCACATATCGAAAAGATGAGACCAGTGAGTACTGTCAAAGCCTAGTATAGCTCATTTAGTGTCTACCTTCTCCAATGCTCTAGGATTGACAGTCTGATGGGACGTGGGTGCTTACATATGAGACGACGAGGAGAGTGTCGTCTAAACCCCATTTCTTCAACACCACGGCCCGCACATAGATACGTAGGGCGACAAAAATCAATGCAATTCCGAGAAACCCTGCGGTCATGCCAATGAGCAATGGAGCTCTTGTGGCGTCAGTGTACGGTGGGGTAGGGTCCCCTCGTATGAAGCTTTCATTGTGCATTGCGACTTCTTGTCAACCCTCCCGTTCCTGTCGATGGAGCTTCTGTGACGGACGGCCCTTGGATAGCCGTAAGTTTCCAAATTTTTGAATAAGATGGCTTTCCAGGCCGACATTGAGAACACAAGGAGAAATGAAACATTTTGTCAAGTCGTTGCGGAAACCTGGGAACTAAATGCCAGGGTGACACCAGATACATGGCCTGGGACCTCGCACGTTGAAAACAATGGAATGCAAAGAGATACATGGAACACCAGAAGTTAGCCACTAACAATCAAAGCTTGCCATGTCCGGCGATCCTGAACTACCGAGGAGACAACATCTCGAGATTCATCACCGCATGCGGCCACGCCACAATGTTTTCCAGCCGCCACAACGCAGACGGCCGGGGATTCGAAAGCCCACAGGCCTAGAGTCGACTCCTTACGACCACAATTTGGGGCCAATGTGCGTGGGTAAACAGTCAGCCATTGATGCCGTAGGTTTACATGGCGAATCCAGGGAACCTATCAGAGACGACCTTGGACGTACAATACCACACTCTTGATCCCATGGCCTGTTGTTTCGGGCTTTTCGTTGGGGCTGGAAACGAGGTAGTACAGAGCCACCGGCGCGCTTCCCCGAGCTCTTTCGGAGAGTGCTAGAGGCATTCGTCGATTGGTGTCACCCAAGGAGGATCTGCGGTTCCGGTAAACTGGGTACGATCCACTACTAATTAGTTCGTCTGCCCTGCACGCACTCACGGTACTATCCGATACAAGGCGACGACCTCCGGCTGGCAGAGTCTGAGGCGGGAAGCCTACAAGCCACATGTATTTGATGCTTTCACGTGCAAGTCTTCCGCCGTGGCAAACCTTCCATGTTGCCGTGCAGACGCGTTGAATCATGAGTCTGAAAGCATTCGAGGCTTTTATGTTTGTGGCCTTTGCTGGGAACTTTTCAAGCGAAAACAGATCGTCTCAAGCAGTTTCTCATCTTCTTCAAATGATCGATCACAGCAAGGGCTGCAGGCTGCAAATGTACCTGACGGCAAGCTTTTGCCGGAACACGACCATGATAACTCGAATATGTTGAAGATTACTGAGCTGCGAGGGCACTAGTAAGACGATCTGTCTATCTCAACGGGCGTCTTCCTAAACGTCAAGCCAAGACGTTGCTTGACTTCAGTGGAGACCTTGACTTCAAAGGATCTGTCACAAAAGCTCGGTCGCTCAAAGGACGCCACATCGACCGACGCGTCTCGACTTGCTGACAAGCGGGTGCTAAATATCCTTGGCGAGGCCTTTGCCGATTGCGGAACCTCGCTAGGCGTATAGGAATAAGCTGATCATATCAGCTAATTATCCCAACATTGTCTCCTTGATGACCAACTTTGATAGTGTACGAGGGTGGCATCGTCGGGATAATGATGATCCAGAGTTGCAAAGGGCACATGTTCAGCAATCTGAGACTTTGATATCAGAGGATCGCTTTCATTTAGTTCATGAAGTAGGATATGTACAGTGAAGATGCATGCTTGTGCATGAACAGCTCATGAACGTTTTCAAGCAGGGAACCTCGAGTTCAGTGCGTTCCACTCAGCCTGAGTAAGGGGCGTAACGGATCCGTGCTTCAGTCCAGAAGGGAAGCCGGAAGTGCTACCAGCCTGCCAGTTAGGCGACTGAATATTGCTGGTCTGGAATGGCACGTATTGAGTGTAGTCATCCAGTAGGAGGTGGTACAGCCCTGGCGTGGTGTTGTCGGCATATGAGGCAGGTCCCTCGCGAGGGCTCTCATTCCTGACATAGCCAGGAATACGGTTCCATGTGCCAAAGATGCCGTTCGAAGTGACCTCTTGGTAGACTTGGTTGGTAGTCTCGTTCTTCAGGAAGCGGGCATAGGCGCCAGATCTGCCCAAGTACTGGAACTCCTGGTCGATGAGGGGAGTGTCCGCTAGAGCAAGGTAGTCTCGGGCCGGACTGAAGGTGACAAAGTCCTTTGTCGTGGTGTATCGGATTCGGTCGAGCGTTGCGGTGCCGGTGTGGGCCGTGTCGGTGGACCGGTAGTGTCGAGCTGACCAGAAGACGTACCAATGAGCCTTTGCATCGTCCCAAATGGCTGACGGGGCCCAGACCATGCCGGCGGTGTCGGCTTCAACGATTCTCAGAGTGGAAGCAGACCAGTCGACGAGGTTGGTAGACTTCCAGACAACGATGCCCCTGCTGCCAGTTCTCGTTGCTTTGTCCCAGTTGAAGCCAGAAGCATTGATATCGAGATCTGGAAAGATTTAGCTCAATCACTTTGGCATCTTGGTTGAAGTCAGACTCACCAGTGGCAATTATGTACCATTCTGATCGCGAGGGGTTTGTTGTCAGGTAGACATCGCGAACGGCCTTGGTACCAACGGTTGACGTGAGGACTGCCTGACCCTTGTTGAGGAACTTGAAACTAGACGCGCTGTTGCCATTCGACAAGTGAAATTGGACTTTCGGGTTGGCGTCGCTGAAGGTCGAGATCAGGTAGCCGGCAAAATTGGAAGTTTGGCGGGCTACAGGGTTGCCAGCCACGATAGCAGCTGATGCGACCGTGGTAAGGATGGAGAGGAAGCGCATCTTGAAGTTATTCCCAGACTAAGTTGAGTGGATCCACAGAGGCAATGTCGTCGCTTATCCCACACGGCTTCACAGGCAACTTGGAAACTGCCATCGTATATATACTCATGTCAGCGGCGATGAGGTGATCAAATTGACGACAGGGCCTTGGCATCAAGTTCTCAAGTACCGTCGCAAATGAGCTCTCCAAACCCACGAGCGCAAAGCTTCATATCGATGTTGCTCTTCTATGGCGCGGCTAGCTATCTAGCTCCGAGTCGGGGTAGCGTCTTACCGAGCTCTTTCACGATGCGGGGACACCAAACCCCACAGACGGTGCAATCACGTCCGTTCATGGGGTTAGCGCCTGGGGAAGACAGGCCTCTTTCGGTAGATACGGTAAAATACCCCATGGAGGACCACATTGCTCTGCGGAGAGACCCATCTGGAGAAATCCACAAGTCGGTTGCGAACCTTGTTATTGCCCCTTGTTCATGATGCCATCGCGTGGGTGTCCGGAAGCACCCGCAGTACTGGGATGATCACATGGCGCAAGGACGCATTCTTGATTTAAGCGCCAATAGACTTCCAAGAAACCGGTCAAACTCACAGTCCCAATAGCGTGTTTAACCGTTGCTTGGAATCCACACACACCCCTGGTAGGAAGAGTTGCGAGCCGAGTTCGAAGCCGCCCAATCATGAGGTGTCGGGCAAGCGGTTTTGGAAAGGAAAGGAAATTGGGTTGATACACGCGATGCTCCCTTGCCATCCCGAGTCCGCGTACCTGCGTTGTTTGCTGTTGCCAGTCTGGAAATCTTTCGACCGAGCTACTTCGCTATCTATAGGGAGCACCAACGCTGCCGTTGACCTGCGCTAATCTGAAGACGAAAGTGAACACTGAGTATAGCGGGCTTGACGCAAGAAGCGCAGCCGAATTGAGCTCCTGTACGTTCCTCGTCGGAGACTAGTAATCAATGACTCCCATAGGGGAGCAACATATTGAAGTCCTACAATCCATACAGATACCTAAGCACGGATGGGCATGGACACCGACTTCGGAACGTGGAGCAGAATTCGATAACGCAGTCACATCTGGTAAGGTAGATCATCAACAAACTCCCGGAAACCCACTAGCTAGGGCTGACTAGCCTTAGTGTCGTGAGCATAACTTGCACACTCCTCTCCTACTGCTGACGGTCAGTAGAAGCGGCGCCGAATCAGACAGCTTCGATGGAGCACCGGCATCTCTGCTCGGCGGCTCAGGAAGGTCCGGCTTGGCTTCAGAGTCCGAAGGCCGCAGCCCACTTTTAAGGCCGGGCTTTGAGGCGTCTTCGAGCTTCATCTCATGTCCGAAGGCCAGGCACCTTTCTGCTGACACCAAAGGGTAAGACGAATGACGTAGTTTGATGCACTTTGTTCCTTGAGGATCTTCGGCAGACAAAGTTCTCCGCAATTTTCGTAAGCTTACGATGCTTATCACCACGTTCTCTTCGCTTCATTGTTCATTTATACCCTCTTGATTCCGCCAGACTCGGATAGACGATTTCCTCTAAATCGTAGGCACACTGAAAACCAATCGACCCGGAACATACAAATCGACGAAATGCGGGAATCCAATGTTTGGCTTATCACGGGCACCACCTCTGGCATTGGTGCTGCCCTTGTGGAACAGTTCGCCGCAAGGGGCGACAAGGTCATTGCAACAGGCCGAAATGCGACCGTCCGGCTAGCAGACAAGAAGTCGGACAATGTTGTACCTTTCGACCTCGATGTAACCTCCCCGCTTGCAGATATCAAAGCACAGGTGCAACAAGCTGTCAAGGTCTTCGGGCACATCGACTTCGTTATTAGTAATGCCGGTTACTCTCTCCTGTCTTCAATCGAAGAAGCGGAGTAAGTACTTCCAAAACCTTATGCGGAGCGGGCAACAAAGGGATCTTACTAACGAACAGTCTGTAGCGAAGAGTTCGTTCAGAAAATGTTCGATACCAACCTCTTTGGAGCAATGAAGGTGGTTCAAGCAGTTCTTCCGCATTTTCGTGAGAGAAAATCAGGCACCTTTGGGTTTATCGGTGCCGGATTCGGCTGGGCATCTTTCCCGTTTATGGCTCATTATGGCATGGCCAAAGGTGCACTCACAAGTAAGTGGCCCAGACCAGAAGAGCGGGGATCAAATGAAACGAGACGAAGAGTCTAATGATTGAGCAGTGTTTGTGGAGAGTGTCCAGAGAGAGACTGCTCATCTCGGTATCAAAGCCGTAATCTTCGAGCCCGGTGGTGTCAATACTGCCATAAACGACAAGAATGAAGACAAGCCTCAGTCTGACGGGCCTCCTCCTGGTTTCCCCACTATTGCAGACTACCAAGGCCTGTATGGTGAAGCGATGGGAAGGATCGCGACAGAAGTCTTCCCGAACCTCCCTTCGTCCGTAGACAAGCTACCGCCAGTCATTTGGGATGTGTTCAAAGGGCAGGGATTAGCAGCTGACAAGGCGTTCCCAATCAGGGTGCCAATTGGAGTGGACTCCGTTGAGGTCATCAGACAAAAGTGTCAAGAGCAGCTTCGTCTATGCGACGAATGGGAGAAAGCTGCGTTGAGTACAGCTAGAGACGGAGTGACTCAAGTTCCGAACGAGTTCATGATGAAGAAGCTTTCCATTCTAAATATGACTTATTCCTGAGGTATCGAACGAAGATATCGCCAAGAACATGCGTAGACTAGCTCTCTAAATCTTGCTTTCACAACTCCTACCAGTGCTGATCACGTCCTATCCACAAAATTATGTTTTCCGTGGTTCAAGGTTCTTTGCTTCCGGTGAAAACCCGAGACCTCAGGACAGGTCTTCAGCACGTCGACCAGACCATGTTGCAAGGTGGTTACACTCCTCAACGGCGCCGGCAAATAAGGTTCACTAGAAGATGGAGAGTGCCCAAGCGTTTTCGACGAAGGCTCTCGGAGTGCCGTAGAGTTCCAATATAGCAAAAAATCAAGCTATCAAAGGACTTGTGTCAGCGGCACTCGCATTCCGATTGCGGTTTCGTCTTGCAGCTCGAACTCACCGCATCAGAAACCCGCAGATAAGGCCGTAAGCCCGCAGGCTTGAATGGCGAATGATGAAATTTATCCAACTAATGCGAAGAGAATAAGCGACCCGATGTGGGAGACGTGCATATTTAGCTTGGTCAACGCTGTTGGGTAGCGAGATCTGCCGACCGTCGGAAGTGGGTGTTGTCTTGGATGAACCACGGGGAATATCCCCTTCAACCGGATTGTCCGTATCGCGATTTCCACAAGAGCTTGACGTTCCAGTGGGAAATTGCTCGTTGAGAAAGATTGTAAAGTGGTTTGTAAAGGTGACCGGTCGGATGTTCTTGATGATCGTTCCTTCGTTCTGGTTTCTTTTGACAGGCCCGTTGTATTGATTCTTGGCTCTGGAGCAAACATTGCTCGATGCGGTGTACGGATATGTGAACTCGCTTTGTCTTCCTGCAGCGTCGTAGTTCATCGTCGTTCTCGGTGGCATTGTCGGCGAATCGAACTACTGTAATTGTGCGCTTGACCAGTCAATCGTCGTAATGCCTCGGAAGGTGGTGTGGTCAGCCTAACTCAAGGCAACCCAAGTTGGGAGAATGTGCGGGAAACTAGGCAATGTTTCTGTTGTGGGAGGGCTGGGACCATGCCTGTGTGGCCATCGCTGCGGCAAAATCGAAGCAAGGGCCGTCTGGTGTGAAGCGCCAAGTGGTGAGTGTCCAGGGGTCTGCCCAATGACAAAGGGTCTTGCATGCAGCAAGTAGGCAAAGCAATACCGACGCGTCT